AACCTTTATATGTATTTACCATCTTGTGATAAACAGTATAAGTGTTAATATATTATTACAAGTGTTATTTTTCGTATTTTTTTACTTTCAGATAATTCAATAACACGTACGATGTTGATCAAAAAGTTATTCCCTCAATGTGCGCATTCATTTTACTTTAATATTTCTCGGCCTGTGGAACAATTAATTATTAACTTTTCATGCATAGCATTAAACTATTAAATATTATTTACAAGGTAAATGTTTAAATTACGTTAGGTTTGGCTCGGCTTCAATAAAACTTATACAATTGTTTTCATGAAATATAACAAATCGATTTCCCATATAGCAGTAAAATAAGCTATGAGAAAGCATATTACTTTTTAAAAGTACAGAAACGTCAATTATGCAAATTAATTTCATAAATAAAAATTGGTAAATAAGAACCAGTTCTATTTAGAACTACAAAGAACTATTTAACTGTAAAGACTATCTCCGAACCTTTTGTTATATTATATACTTGCACATGTTTGTTTAGGTACATTCTTTAAGACAGTAGAAATTAAACTAGTTATTAGTGAAGCTATATTGTAAACCTACTGTTGTTTTACATTGTATTTTTAAGATATAATGAGTTACTGTTGTGGAATTCTTGTAACTAAGAACATACAATTTTCCACCCAGACCAAGACTTGTTAATTGTTACTGAAACAATCTCATTTATAAGGAAGGCTTCAGTAATTTTTCTAAAGGAATCTTTCCATGGAACATTAGAGTAGCCTTACTTTTCCAGGTCATTCAGTGATTAATATCTGATACTTAGTAATATAAAAAAAATAGAGTTATTTAACTCAGCTAATCGGGATTTTAATTTTTGTAACTTACCAATCATCCCAGATTTATGACGGCTTATAAGATACTTGCAACTTTTTTAAGTTAAATCTCATAATTATTTGTATTCCTTCCATCCCTATTTTAACCCTTTTGTCCATTCACAATACTTGACATTGATCATTTTCATCGTATTAAATTGACGTAAAGTTTTAAATAACAGAATTTATTACTTTTAGATTAAATGTATCAATAATTATATATTTCAGTAAATTATTAACACATTATTTATGACAACGAAGAACAACATGCACACAAAAAAAATAAGGTAATTTAAGCATCTAGTCTCTGATCCAATGTGTCTCCATTATCTCCTTTAGCGTTGATAACTAAAGAGTAATTACATTGTAAGAGGTTTCTCTAGTTGGAAGCTAATTGGGATCCAAGCTTAAGATAATTCCAGTCAATTACAACGTAACTCAGTTCATCTAATGCTTCGTTCAACACTGCTTTTTAGATTGAACGTTTATACATTTATACGTTAAATCAATGTCAAAATATACCTTATATATTTTAGCTTAAATTTTTTTCTAGTATACATTATGTCACAATAAAATTTAATTGCATTTGATCTAAAATGCGCGTTCCTATCTATCATGAACAAAGCACGCATCAGTAATATAAAGTTGAAACAAGAAATAACGATATTGACTTAATTGAGGCTAAGCCATTGATACTCTATGGAGAAAAAATACTTTAAACTTAAAGTAACGTAGAACATTAACCCAATCACTATTATAATTTTGTTTATTTTATAAAAAGTTTAACATGTCATAAACAATTGTCCTATTGATTATAAGTAATAAATAAAACAAAATAGCGTTTTGATTATTATAAGAAAAATGGAACGAAAGTATATTGTAAATTGATTGTGTTTTTACAAAAAAAATTATGAAGTTACCAATGGCGTTTATAGTTGATAGTTTTTTTTTAATTTTTTTTTTATTGAATTAAAGTTGCGAATAGTTTACTTTGATTATGAAATGCGAACCTGGGGAGTCATTAAAGCTAAAGTTAAAGGTTAACTGTTTAATATTCATGAAGTATACACTGAAGTTTGATGCTTATAACCTTACTTGCTTTAGTCATATGTATAAGCCACATTTGTAGATATTGAAAAAAATAGTTTTTCAGTCGTAATCAAGAATTGTTATTGATTATTTCTGTTTATTAGATTAAATTTTATTTTTTCTATAAGAAAATTTATGTTTCTCAAAAGTAATGAAATGGGTTATTTTATTTGTTTTAGGTGCAATTTGTTTGATATTACATCCGAATGATAACATGAACTTTACTCTACTAAATAAAACATTTAATTAAAAGAGCATTTTTCCTTTCGTTTATTATAATTTATTTATGTAATATATTATTTTTTTCACTTGATATTTACAAAATTACCATACCGTTAATAAACATAATAGTACAACAGAATAAAAGAGTCTTTATACTTATTAGTAAAGATGTTTTTTTTTTCAATATTAACTCAACCTTAATAATACAAACTCACTTTGGTTATTGACAAGGAAATACAAAGTGTTTCTAAACTCTCTCTCCAAACTTTGTGGTCATTTTCCTTAAGTCAAAACAAACAAAAAATATCATATTAACATATGCCCTATCTCGCTTCGTTTTTCATCTGTCAGTGTGTATGTATTTTTTACATAACTTCCATAACTTTGGAACCACCTGAAGTACCAACTTCAAACCAGGTCCTAGTATGACGACTGATATAAAATATTATTTTACAAAGCTTTACGTTTCCAGTTTGTATAATAGAAAAATGGTGGCCGTTTTATTTTTTCAAAGCTTAATAAATAAAAAATATAGGATTTATAAAAAGGTTTTAAAGCAGAAACAAGGATCTAAATTTTATTCACCTTACAGAAATGTGCAATTTGTAAGGGGTCATAACACAAGTAAGGGAGAACAATTAAATATTCTGACGTTAAAACAAAACATTTGGGCAAATTCAATAGATTAGCAGGTATTACCTTTATAAAAATTCAGTTTTACCCGTTATTTGTCTTATGACCCTATATAAATTGTACATTTATCTAAAAGAAATTAAATTTCTATTCTTTTTGACTTTTTGTTACTTTTTTAACATTTTATGTGTTTTGAGTTATTAAGCTTTGAAATTTGAAACGGCCACCATATTTAAATTATACAAAGTAGAAACTTGATGCATTGTGAAAGAATAGTTCCTATTAGTCATCATTCACGTGCTAAACTTGAATTTGGCACCTAAAGTCGTTTCAAAGTTATGGGAAGTTATGTAAAAAATACTTACACACTGACAGATGGGAAACGAAGCGAGATATGGCATATGTTGAAATATTTTTTGATGTTGTTTTGACTCTAGGAGTTTCGGGAGTTAGTTTTGATACACCCTGTATACTGTAAAATGAACAAGTCATCATGATTATGTTAAGTCTCCTTGTAACATATTAAATGATTATTGTATTATATTGAACCAAGGGAAATGTTCTTACTGAGTTTTTGTTAAAATTATTTAGTTATGAAAAGAGATAGTGTGAATTATAATTATACGTACTTCCATATAAATAGTCACTGCTTCATTACAAACTCTAAGGAAACATATTAAGTTTTCTAAATTATTTCAGATTTTCACTGCCAACAACCCAGCTAAATTAACAACCCAGCTTCTCACAACGTCATTTAACTATTAAAATGGATCTGTCAACACTTCCAGCATTTCCATTTTATTCTCGTTGAAATGTTACTTAAACTGGTTTTAAAATTCATATGTTGCATTACTTTCAAATATATCTTCAAACTACCACACGGTATATGTTCTATGTATTAAATTGTTTATCTGGTTACTGAAAGTGAAATTAATTATTTATTAAAAATATATTAATTTTTAATGTTTTTTTTTCTAATGCATATATAAACTCATATGAATGCATATGATGGTTCATTTAAAAACATAGTAAAACAAATTGCTAAGAACTGTTTCTCGAATTTTGGCATTTTCGATATATTAATAATTATATATTATAAATAAGACACTATTAATATACTTTTATCGTTATATTATTTTGGTGGATGATTTAAATTTTCTTTACTAGTATTTTGAAGTAATATAAATGAGGTAATGCATCATTTAAATTATTTAATTTCATAACACAAACAATTCCACGTGATTTTATTACAAAATATCATACAACGTCCAATTCCAATACATTATGTCCATCCAAAATTGGCAATGTTCAATGACAATAAAACACTGGTTTCGGAATGAGAAAGCATTCAAGAGTTGATGGTAATGGAAACAAATTGCTGCTCTTAAGGCCCAAAGTAATGAAAATCTGCATCACAAGAATACTTTAGTACTACTATTGCTTATGCTTTGATGTATTCTGTAGTGGATCTGAATAGAAGCACCACACATTTTCAAAATATATAAAATGGAATCTGAAGAGTGAACATAGTAGTTTAGGTAATTATTCATACGAAAGAGATTAAATACAACATACTATACTATATTGATAAAAGTAAGGTCTGAAAAAACATCTATTATTTTCAAAATAATATTTAATTTCGGTGGTATAATATAGTTTGTTATTTTTATTTTTTTCACAATTTGTTCATAATTTAATACAACCTGTAAAATTAAAAGATATTCAACCAAACTTTAGGTATGTAATTTAACATTTGTTAGATTAAAGAAAAGTAGTTAAACGAATAATAAATTATTCTTGTGTTCTTGTGTATCGTCGAATGTGATTCATATGTCATTGTAAACGTCTATTTAAAAGTTTCGTTAATTATTAGTCAAATTGTTGTCAGTTTTTTTTTTACATAAATCCTCATGACTAAAATTACCGAAATTCAAAAACACACTTAAGTGAATCTTTTGATAAAATTTATAGTTAAATAAACTATTCATTTGAATAACTAAATAGGTTGAATTTATTGACCTATAAAAACATTTTTATATATTTATTACAATTTTTACGCAACCCCCTGCTTATAAAATTTCCTCTTTTTATCATTACGATTGGGACAACAATGCATGGATGAGTTTAAATACATCTAATTTTTTTTATGATTAAACGGTGGTATCAATTTTATAGTTTAACTAGCTGTGAGTACCCGTTCTTCGTACGGGTTTATTCAAGAATAAGGTTACAAACTTTTTGTAATAACAATGATTAATTTATTTTAACATAATTTAGTACATAAAAATACATTAAAAAACTTAAATCTTAAAAAATATTCGAAAGTTTTAAATAACAAAGTTGGCAAAGATAGCAGAGTTGAAGCGCTTAACATTTGTCACAGCGAAATTACAATATCAAAATTTCAAAAACAACAAATGACATACATTGAAAATAAATATTAAATAGTGAAGAAAAACAAAAAACACAAAAAATTAAAAGGTTGCCTAACTTAATGCCTCTTCATATACTATATTAGTGGTTCGACCGCCTGGGGCATGTATGTAAAGGTTGGTTGGCGATCGCACTCGGCTGCACGCCACGTACAGCTGTCCGTGTGAAAAACATTGCGCGTCACCTAGTTCAATCCCTGCTGTTGACAGTGTCTGACCTTGCGATTTGTTGATCGTCATGGAAAAACATGGATTTAAGGGAAATTGCAGGCGCTTAAACTCAAAGGGATAGTTGCTTGGGATGAGGGGGATCCGGGGGACAAACACCACTTCTCCCGCACCACAGCCTGTTAGAATTTCGGCTTCTATGACATTTCGCTGGAGACTTCGAATTCGAAGCCGAGTCCCATTGCATAATTTAGGAGGGTTTAAATTTCTTAGAAGCATAACGGGAATACCAATTTTAAGATTAAGTTCGTGGGCGGGTAGTCCAGGTGCTGTCACCGAGTCAAGAAACTCTGCCGGGTAGTGCACTGCGTCATCATTTCTTAGAACTGTGTTCACCGACAAATATGTCTTGTCCTCGCTTAGGAATAGGGACATCACTTTCTTATTTATCTTTGTTGAAACTTCATTTTTTGGAGTGAGAATAGCCCTATTGCATAACCAGGCACTGCTCTTGTTTGGGAGGTCTTCAATTCCTGGATAGACTTTCTCGATGAGTTCATCTTGGGTTTGAACAATAACACCAAGAGAAGGTGGTATATCGATAGTTCCATCAACGTTACCCAGCTTTCCATCTCCCAACTTTAACAGAACATTGGAGAATTCTTCCACCTCATTTCCAATATTGGCCCGCATGTTCTTTGTTAACGCCAGTTTGTTCATTATTGGCCATAGGGTAGATCTTTTCATAGAGGCGTTAATTTCATCCGCCCTTGTGCCTCTCACTACAACTGGCAGAGTTTGGCGGAAGTCACCAGAGAACAATACCGTCACTCCACCCATGATCTTATTACTGTTCCTCATATCTTTGAGTGTTCTGTCGAGGGCCTCGATTGTCAGTTTATTGGACATCGTACACTCGTCCCAGACTATTAAGGAGGCTGCTTGTAGAACTCGTGCCATGGGAGCGCTCTTCGATATAGAACAAATCGGGATGTCCATATGCTCTACATTTATTGGGATTTTGAACATGGAATGGGCAGTTCTTCCACCTGGCAGAAGGGTTGCTGCAATGCCAGAAGAGGCCACAGCAAGAGCAATCTTACTGTTTGATCTAACCTTTGCGAGAATCAGCTTTATGAGGTAGGTCTTTCCAGTACCTCCAGGAGCATCAAGAAAAAACATCTTGTTTCTTTGTCCATTTATGCTCGTCAAAACTTGCTCATACACTTGGCGCTGCTCCTCGTTGAGAGTTGGCGTACACTGTTCAATAAACCTAATGAGTTCGGGATGGTCGTAACTTGTCTCTCTGATATAATCATGGTTTAACTGATTGACATCTATGGCTGGTACTGGTAAGTTGTAGCTTTCGAGCCCAAGTCCTCCCATGCGAGTGATTGTCTCTTGAATGCTTGCTAGGCACTGGTCATATATGATAGGATTGTTTTCAAAGGTGGTGTTAATGTCGACTTGATGTGCAGATCTCAAAAAGTCCTCTGAGAGGGAATCTCTGAATCTGATCCAGAGCTCAAGAGGGTTGCTCACATTGCAAAATACTAATAAGACACTGAAGAGATCCCTCAACTTGGTGGGACTGTCAGAAACAGCAGCTTCTGCAAGAGTGCCCTCCCAGCACGCATCATCCTCTAGTAAACCAAGGGCACGGCATGCGGATTGGAAATTTGGATGGAGCACACCATCAACAGTCTTGAGATCCTCAAAAGATGTTGGACCTCGAACAGTGTGTAGGAGGAGTCGGAGATGGTAACGCTCACTGCAGCTTGGATGGACAGTGTACACCCTACCGATGCACGGATCTTGTCTCACGTCAGGATGTCCTGGTACTGGTTGTCCTCTCCGCCTCCTGGACCAACCTCTTTGTTTAGAGTATGTGTAATAATAGGGCAACTCGTTGTAGAGGAGGGTTCTTGAAAAGGCGTCCGTCTGGCAGAGATTGAAGAAGGCCAAAAGAGTTGTACTTTGGTCCATTCTTTCCCGAACATTGCCTGGCTGGAAATATACTCTTTGCTCATTTGGAAGGTGGACCTCTAAATGCAACACAGCGGGAAACCTCTCATGTATAGGAAATGATAAAATTCTCCATACCGCCTCAGATGTGCATATATACCGACCACTTTGGTACATTTTAATTTCGTCTGTGTCATTACTTACTGCAAATGTGGCCTGGTCACTGCCCTTGTTTATGTACTTGCAGATGTACTTTATAGATTTTACACTGCTACAGTACTCAACGTTAACATGTGTTAGAAATGTTCGGGACAATACAGGCGAGTAAGGTACTACCCATCGGTTGTCCATAGGGATTTCATCGTTACCTACTCTGATTAGGACATGATGGCCTCCATCATCTGGGGAGCGCCTTCTGTATGTTGGGTATCCATTGTCTCCTGTTGCCGTTTCATTGACAAATGGTCTAGGGTATCTTTTGCTACAGTGACCATCCTTCATACAGGGAAGCTAGCTTGCGCTGTCGCACATTAAAAGCTCCGCATGGTCCGTGGCAGCATGTGAGTCTTTGACTATATCTGCAAGTTCAGGATCAGTTTCAGGATTTGGAAGCTCTGCAGAAATGACTTGATCTATTCTATTTGGAGGAATGGATTCTTCAAGCCAAATCAGGATATGAGCGTGTGGAAGACCACGTTTCTGCCATTCAACAGAGTACATGTAGCAGCGAACTGAGCCATAAATCTGGCCTTTCATAAGAACAGCAATCATACAGTTTAAGCTTCAAATGAAAAACTCGTGATACCACATCATACCGGTCGTGAGCAGACTGCCTTTCTCCAATTACACTCGTGATTTCTATCCATTTTGGATTTGTTGTCATTGTTATGAAAAGTTCTGGACGACCAAACTTCCGAACATAGCAAAAGGCGTCCTGTGTGCGAGAATGCATATATCTAGGACCTCCAGTGAAGGTGGCAGGTAAAATTATCTTTTGCCCCCAGTTTCTTCTACGTTGTCGTCTCGTCTTAAAGCGTCTTGAAGGTGT